AGCCAAAATATGGCAGACCCACTCTAGAAATATATACAAGTGATATCCATAGTTCAGCTATCCTCTTTACCACTGTACACACACCCCAATTTCTCTGGTGACCAGCTTCTCCCCATTTTTGCCAACCAAGTCTGCTAGGATACTGCATAAAGAGCTTTAATATATTCAGATTTTTTTGAGTACTTTGTACAAGTACACCTTACCTTAAGACAGCATCTAACCCACAAAACCAAAAGATGGTTGGAAATGAGAGCTTGAAGGTATCGGCTAATTTTGAATTACATTACATATTGTGCCTTTACTTAATCTCTTTTCAAATCAAGTAATATTATAATTGCAATATCATTCCATTGTGTTTCATGTCTCCCAAACACCAAATTAGTGTGAATATTAAAACAAGCTGAAGCTTTATAGTTTAATTACTTTAAGTATATTTGCCGTGACTTGCTGCAAGTACTGGAAGGGTGGGGGCTTGGAGGTTTGGAGAATATATAAGAGACTGACTTGCAGTCTCTAAGACAGAGCTTTTAACCAAAAATGACTCTTGAATCCTGACCTTTGGGCTCCGTATTATGAAGAATAGTTTAAATTAGAATACTGCAGAACATTCCGGCTCTTGGTAAAATGATGGCAAATCATTATAGCCCTTATTTTAAGATGATCAAACGAATCTTAATGAAACATGCTTGCGTTCTATGCTGTTAACAGCCACTTTGTATTCCTAGATCTACCTTAATGACAAATTTGGCACCGTTCCTCTAGGACTAATCACACAGGCAGTCTGAAAACCTGCTTATGTATTTAATATTAACATTATTTTTAAAGCATTGTCTTTCATCATTTAACACCATTTCCAAATGCAAAGCCAACTTCTTTGAGACTTTAAAACAGTCCAGGATGCAGCCAAGGAACAAGCATTCAGCAATATGGAGATAGTGTTGTATATGGCTTAGTTCCAAGCTTTACGGTGCCTAGATCGCTGTGGTTTAATTTGTTAAGACTCATTATTTAAAAAAACTTTATTCTGGGAAGGCCTTGACAAAAATCCCTTATTATAGTTGGACTGTCCTAGGACTGGAGCTTTATTCTTGCCGAGTGTTTATTAAAAATGTAGACTGCAGTGCTCTGTAGACTTACCTTGGCATAAACCCCACTGAACTTAGTAGGAAGTTCACACACAAAAATATGATAAAAACATACAATGAACAACTGCATACAGGCGGTGGCCATTTTGCACGGGGGTTCCATTCCTGGCCCCCACCCATCAGTGGTGCATACATAAAACCCACCCCAATCCAACCCCCATTCTACCCTCTTCCAGGTCCAAAAGGACTCATGTTGTCAGTGGTTGCACATCAGTTGGATGCACACAAAATGGCTGCCGCCTGTACATAAAAACAGCTAAGCATTTGCATACATAAAAATAACCTTACATGTTATTAATTATTATTATTATTATTCAATATCCATTCACATAGGGGGCACAAGGCCACATGTACCACCACATGACCAGCTTCCCTGTCCATCTCCAGCCTTCCCATGTTCAACAAGGTTTGAAGAAGGCTTCTATCCATGTTTAAACTGAGGGAGGGGTACTGCTTTTGTTTGTTGCATTGTTATGCATTTTTGTTTCTTTATATCGTAAATCACCCTGTGATCCTTGGATGAAGATCGGCGTGGAAATAAATAAATGAGTAAGTAAGTAAATATTGAAGGACAGCCCCTTTCAGAGCTCCCCTGCTCAAATTATGGTCAGGAACAGAGAGTGCAGAGCCAGCATACATGGGAACTTTTGTAGCGGTGGGAGAATAAACATGACCCCAACATCATCATGCTCAGTCAGAGCTATTATCTATTTCTGGCATTTCTGACTTGGTCTTTTCTGCTCAAAATTTGCCTGTGCTTTTTTATTATTCTCCTTTTCATTTCACCTTCCTCCCATGGTGAAGACATGTCAAACTGGGCTACTTAAATCTTCCTAACTGCACAATCCTGTGTGCATCTACTCAGAAGTGAGCCCCACCGATTTTAAAAGAACTTACAAGTTAAACATGGTTAGAACTACATCTTAAGCTTTTCCCACTGACCCCACTTATTTCTCAGTGAATTCTTTGATCTTATCAAGGCTGCGTTGTTCTGATTTGTCCCTTGTGGGCTTCCCTTTATCTCACCTTAGGTCTTTCTTTTATCTTATTTCTTTTGGTCCATTAATTTGATCACATAACTCCATTATTGTTTTCTCTTCGTTAGTTACCTCATCCGTTCTTGCATTCAATTTGAAGTTCTGCTATTAGCATCCGCAGTTCCGTTATATCTTTCTTCTTCCTTCCTTGATCTCTTTATTCTTCAAGTTCTGGCTCTCCAAACTACATATTTCTAACCTTTTATCTTGATTGTGTACATTTTATTGGGGTTGGCTCCTTATATTTGGAATGAGTTTCCCCACTGAAATCTGGTTCGTTTAATCCCACTGCACCATTCAATAAATTCCTCAATGCCTATTTGACTTAAGAAAGCAATAGCAGTGCTCAGCCCCACTCCTAATGTTTTACTCGCATTTACCTGAACACAAATAAAACCCTCCAATACTTCTGGGGGATTGTACGCACACCCTGTGTTAGGCAAATGCCTAAACATAGCATCGACTTGATAGCATCATCTCTCTTCTCCATTTTCTTTCTTAGGTGTGCTTATTTATCAGGTTGCCTGTCTCGTGGCAGGAGAATACTGTGTCCTTTCAACATTTCGATATACAGTCTCTCCAAGTGGTTGCTGGTTGTTGAAGGTGGGTGGAGTGACAATGATCAGGATCACAGTAGGTATGGAGGAAGAAACTAAGCTTTGGTTCCCTTGGTCCTCAGAAAAACCTCTGAAGATGGTATTCCCTTTGGGGGCCATAGGGGTGGAGAGAATCTCCCATGGGTGCTGAAATGGGTGGGAGGAACATCTTTGAAAGACAAATTTTCCTCAAGACCACAGCAGGAAACTCCCTCTTCATGTCTGCAGTGATCCCAATATTTACCAGTCCTCCCCTCTCCCCCACCCTGGCCCTATTTACATTTTAAAAACAACAACCTGTAAGTTAAGCTGATCTCTGGGATAAGCATATCCTATTATGCAGTCTGAGCAGTCAGCTGAAATACTAAGGTTAGCCTTGTTTTTCTTTTTTCCAGAATACCACACACACAATACTTGAATTTTGATATGCTGACAAATTCTTTAAGTTATTCCATTTCCCTCCCCAAGCTAATATGCCAACTGGGTGGCCGGAGGGAAAGGAGCCAAGAATGGACATTCTTGTAGATATTTGCTGCTTGCAGAGCAGTTCAATATCAGACGCCTGCTTCCTCAGCCGTGACTGCTTTCCATATTTTCTTTACATTTATTTCCCCCCTCCCCTACCCTGTGACAGGTTGATATATGAAAACCAACAGTGAGGCAGCAACACAAGGAGCGGCGGCGGCGACATGAGCTCCAGGTGTTGGGGGAAGGGAAAGAGAAGCCTACAAAATGTCTCTGCTCCGATACATTATCACATTCCACAGAAATATTATGGTTCACGAGTCTCTTGTTTTCCAGCGTATTTTATACCACATTACAAATGTACCACTTCATCTGGAAAAGAAATAAGGGCCTGCAAGGGCAAAATATGTGGGCCAGGGCCAGGATCGCTCTAAGGCAAACCATTACAGCAAAACAACCATTTAAGATGGGAAGTTTCATTCTCTCTGTATATAATTTTTTAAAAAAACAAAAAACAAATTTCAGCTGAAAAGATCAGGGGGCAGGAGTGCCACATGCCCATTTTTCTCAGCACAGGCTTCTTAAACCTGCGATTATTTATTACATTTGTATACAGACCATCCAGCCAATTTCTCCAGGAGGTTTACATAAGCTTTGAAATATAATTCGCAATGAATCAGGAAAACCAAGATAAAATAAATCACAACAGCAAAAAGCCATGGGGGGGGGGATCATCTAAAAAGCTGCATAAAACAGTGCATCTGAGATAGCCATTAAAATCAGAATAAAAATACAGCAAGGGAAATGGGTGGCGTTCCTAATATAGATGATGATTAAAAGGTCTGGGAGGAAAAGAAGGCTTGCACCTGGCACTTGAAAGACCATAATATACGGACCAGGTGAGCCTCTTTTCAAGGAGTGCATTTTGTTAGTGTGGTGTTACCACCAAAAAGGCCCTTTCAGAATCGTGTGTGTGTACACATAGTTATTTCACATACCCTGCTTCTTTCTTTAGGAGCTCAAGCAACCTGCACATGGAATTCAAGTGGTCCACAATCAGGAAAGCTTACAAGACTAAACTGTGAGTTATCAGGAGTCTTGAAGGAGAGAATCTTGGCAGTAGATCTCAGATACCTTACGTCTTATGCAGCTGAGGCAGGTCTGTGAAGAGAGCATGGCTTGCCTGAGGCAAACTAATGTGTGCTTGACAGGTAATATTCAAACTAGGGAAATCCCAATCTGCAGCTATAACAGCTCAAAATGATACTCAACATTGCATAAAGCTCTGTTCAGGGCAGTGCCTGCGCCAAAAATTTATCCTGCATCCCCGCCTTCAACTATTCTCCATCAAGGAGTGGGGGGGGGGGGGCATGCAAAAATTACCAGAGAAAATTGTGGTGAAATTCTCATGGGTGTGTTATAGGGTTTGTGCTGCGCTTACCTTACTTTTGAGGTAGTCGAAAGTTGTGAGTGTCCTTTTCTGTCATCTGCAAATCATCTCACCATTGGTCTGCACTCCCTGGTGTCTAGCCTTCATTTAAAGGCCAGGGGAAGACATGAGATACCGTATTTTTTGCACCATAACACTCACTTTTTTCCTCCTAGAAAGTAAGGGGAAATGTCTGTGCGTGTTATGGAGGGAATGCCTACGGGTGGCGGGGGGGATCTGCTGCAGTCGTGAGCAGAGGATCCATGGTTCACCTTCCTTCCCTCCTCCGTGGCTCGTTTTGAAACAGCAAAGTGGGAGAAGAGCCGCTGAGTGGGGGAGGAGAGAGGGACAGAGAGCCTGCTTCTTTAAAGGAACCAACCAGACAGGAGCCGCTTACACAAGTGTAAGCGGCTCCTGTCTGGTTGGTTCCTTTAAAGCAAGCAGGCTCTCTGTCCCTCTCTCCTCCCCACTCAGCTCGCTAAATAGCAGCAAAGTTTTTCAGCTCGCTAAGCCGGGGAGGAGCGGGGAGGAGGGAGAAAAGAAGAGCCTGCTTGCTTTAAAGGAGCAAAGTGGGAGAGGAGAGGAGCCTTCTCCCCTTTTCTTCATTATTAGCAGCATCCTTCTCCACCCACCCAACGCGTGCTTCTTCTCCCCTTATACCCCTCTTCTTCATTATTAGCAGCATCCTTCTCCACCCACCCCACGCGTGTTCCTTCTCCCCTTAAACCCCTCTTCTGCATTATTAGCAGCATCCTTCTCCACACACCCCACGCGTGCTCCTTGTCCCTTGAGTGCTTTTCCTTCCCTCCCCACTTAAAACGTGGTTACAAAGCACGGATCCACATGGATCCTCAGGATTTTTGCACTGGGTCACCCCAAATTCACCATCAGATCACATAGCATGTCCATAGCTACATCTTGCACCAAAAAACACACACACCCACTGTTGCCTGGGGTGCAAAAACATGGTTACAAAGCATGGATCCACATGGATCCTCAGGATTTTTGCATTGGGCTACTCCAAACTCACTGTCAGATCACATGTCTGTGGCCACAGCATGAACCACAAAAATCATACATCCACTGTTTCGTTTAGAATATTTTTTTTCTTGTTTTCCTCCTCTAAAAACTACGTGCGTGTTATGGTCGGGTGCGTGTTATAGAGAGAAAAATACGGTAACTCTCCCCATCAACACCAACCCAGCAGCTCTTTCAAAGGAGGAAATATGGGCAGTCAGGGAAGCTACAGAACACAGGATAAATGGCTGAGGGAAAGAAAAACACGTATACCACCCCTGGCCACATTACAATGATATCATGAGCTGAAAAATCTGCACCCACCAAAATCCTGAAGTGTGATAAGGATGAGGCAGAAAAACTAAAACCTTTCCCACAGGAGAAGAAATATTTTGAGAAACTGGAGGACAGATTTCAGTACAGCACTAATTCAGCATGCATTTTAAAATGTTAATTGCAAGCAGCCCCTTGGACCCCAGATGCTATTTGCAATGAAGCCCTGGAAAAGCTTCAATAGAAATTGGACAATAGCAGGTAATACCATGCAGATCTGCTTATTTTCTTGCAGATTTGTATAATTATACCCACAGTGTTTTCCTAAAATAGGCATTATGGAACAGTTTGCCCACAATTTAGAAACATAATCAGCAAGTGGCCTCCCCATCGGAAGCGTGGTATACAGTACTTTAAATAGCCTCAAAACTGTCTGAGGCAGGTTATTTTTTTTGTCCCTGTGAATCTGAATACATGGTAGTGTGGAAGAAGCAGATGAAACACAACAGGATCCAACCAAGTGCCCGAAAACAACTGGTCACTACAACAAACTACTGAGAAGGGAACTGCAAAGCCAGGCAATCCTGTTTGGTAACTAGAATGTAAGCTAAACTGTTGCTTGGGACATAAAGCTGTAAGTATAAAAAAATCCCATCAAGGAGGAGTATGGATGTGAATTAGGAACAAGCATTAAGAGAAGAAAATACAGGCATAAGGAGGACACAAGGCATCCTTGTCTTGCACCTAGTTATTAAATAGAAGCAGCATATATCTTTTTAGTGACATAGTCACAATTCTTATTCAGTTTATATATATTTAGAACCTATGCCCCAACTTTCCCCCCTATTTCCCCAATCAAATATTATTTATTTGACAGAATATGTATGCCTCTAAGCAGTTTATTTATCATTATTTGCTCTATTTGCAAACTACCTTTCATCAATTAGAACCCAATACGATTTGCAATATATACATAAAACAATAAAATATAGCTACATTTAAACTATTAAAAAAAAACACTTAAGCCAAATCATGCTCACTTTTACTCCTGCCTAAAAAACAAAGCTCTCTGTTCAATGCTCTGCAACTTACTATAAGAATGCAGTAACTTGGAATATGACATTCTTTGCCTGTTGCTACAATAGGGCTTCGGCAACGGGTTTGGGTAGCCTGTATAATTTGTGACAACTAAAAATTTCACTATTTTCTATTTCTGTATGGGTGCTTCAAGCTGCAAACCCATTTTATTCAATATCTGGCTTTTTTTGAAAATAAAAACTTACATTAATTTTAGACTGGCATTTACGTTTTTGATAATAGCATCTATTGCAATAACTTCTGCAGCACACAACTGTTTCTAGGGAATATCCCCAAAGCAATGGTTTTGTGACCACACACGAAGGATGCAGATTCAACATGTGAACAGACAGAGCAAGCAAATCTGGCAAAAAGAGACAGAAGGGAAAGAGGAAAAATGTTCCTCTTCCCCATGAGCCTTCTCAGAATGCAGGAAAGGAAATTCTGTCAGTCCAGGCAGGATTCAGGAAGGAAGGTAGAGGTGGCAGAATAGTGGCATCACCAGTGGTGCTACTCTGCCAGAGAGAGGAAGTTTTGTTGCTATTCTTCAAATTGTGTTGCTCAGCTCTTATACACTGCTTTGGGGCATGTTCATAGATCCTGGGCAACACCTCAGTTTGCAGCCCCTTGCCCAGGCAGTCAATTCAGCAGCTTTTGAAGTTCTCCTACAGACAACTACATTTCTCTTGAGCACCCTGCCCAGTTGGTTAGTTTGAGGACTCTCTCAATAAGGGTGCACAAAGACAGTATTCACTCTGTTTTATAAGAATTGTTTGCATTTTGCATATTATTATTATTATTATTATTATTATTATTAAGTTCACTCACTCAACTAGTACTAAATTATGTTTCCCACCCAAGTTTTCAAGTACAGTGGTACCTTGGGTTAAGTACTTAATTCGTTCCAGAGGTCCGTTCTTAACGTGAAACTGTTCTTAACCTGAAGCACCACTTTAGCTAATGGGGCCTCCTGCTGCTGCCGCACCGCCGGAGCACAATTTCTGTTCTCATCCTGAAGCAAAGTTCTTAACCCGAGGCACTATTTCTGGGTTAGCGGAGTCTGTAACCTGAAGTGTATGTAACCTGAAGCGTCTGTAACCCGAGGTACCCCTCTATGGGCAGGTTTTTAATACAGCATGCTTTTTAGCAAGTACTGTACCTTCCTGCTCTGCTGCACCACCCAAGGCCAGTTCGGGGTTGGTGAATGGTCACTCCACAGCCCAAATTTACAAGAAATGGTTCCAAAATATCCCGAGGGCCTCAGTAGCATAGAGCCCACACAACTGTATCCGCCCAACTACCCCAAAGTTGGAGAGAGGATGCTTTAACTGTAATTGGCAATTTAAAAATGTGCACACAAGAAACACACACAGAGAGAGAGCGCAAATCCACTGCTGGGCTATAGCTACACATGCCATGTGCAAAAATTACAATTACCTACAGTATAAGGCAGCTTCCTTAGTTGCTATATTTGACCCAGCATAGTGCTTAGGATACCATCAACACCACATCAAGAGAGAGGCCCCACCAATTTCTGTTTGTGCACTTGTGCATGCAGGCCTCTATGTGTGCTTGTTAAACATACTAGCACACCACAAGTTCTCCTTGTAAATTTACCTTTTGGCTGAAGTATTTGAGAACTGTTACAGTTTTCCTGTAAAAATGTCGTGGAGGCAGGAGCAGCACTAAGCCCAGGATCGGTGGCTTTCATAGTCCAATCCAGTGTTATATTTTTGCAGTTAAGGGATTTCATGGATTTTTCACTTCACAGTTACTTAAACTTACTTTTAAAAAACAAAATGCACCTTTAAACAAGTTTCTTTTGTCCAGATTTTTTTTTAAAAAATCAAAATAGGAAACTTAATAGCTTAAAAAAATCTGCAGCACTTCTGAAGAAAATATTTCTAAGTGAATTTTACAGGTTTCTTACCATATACAAAAAAAAAACCCCCACCCTAAAATAAGACTAGAGACAGAAGAAAAAATGAGCTTTTGGTTTATTAGAAGGATGGCTACAATGCTAGTAATTGTTAATAGAATAATATGAGGCAGTACAATCTGCCGCTAGGACTCACATAAAAGTAGGACTCACTTGAACGATTGTGGCAATCTTTTTTCAGAAAACAAAGCATTATAATTTGGAACAGGGAAGCAGCTGTTGGAGGCAACCTGCCTTGGTAACTTTTTTGGTGAACACACTTTAAGAAAAAAATCACAAGACATAGGAAGGAAGCAAATAAAAAGCCCTTGCTTTAAACTTAATTGACTACTCCACTGAAAAAAACAGCCTACTTGCCTGTATTTTCCTTTGACTACATTTTTACAGGAAATAGTGTCAACAGTTCAAGTACTTCAACCAAAGGTAAAGTTACATCTGCTCCCAGAGACCTTGATGTGTGCCACTACATACACACATGCAGTGCTTAAAAAAAGGGTTTAGGGATACTCTCATTTTCCTACTCATATTGAAATACTGCCCCTCAATGAGGCCAAACTTAAGATTCACAAAATGTTTAGGGGTATGCATCCCCCCAGGGGGGAAAAAATCACTGCACACATGTATATGTAGAATGCATATATCACTGCACACATGTATATGTAGGTGCATATATAGAACTATGTAAAGAAAAGGCAGGGATATGTGCAAACATGGATCTTAAAAAGAGAAACACAGATGTGAAAAAATGTCAAAGTTTACCCCAGTCCTCCTTTCCCCTTCCCATCTCCCTCGTACCATCTGCAAAAGCTCAAGTCTGCCCAAATTCGCAGCCGAAGTGACCTTGAGGCCCTGCATAGCTGGTTACTCAAACTGCACCTGCACAGGATTAAGTATCCTGTTTGTGAGTGATGGCTGCCCCCCTCTTCTCAGTCTGAAACAGTTTTCACAAGATGAAGCCGGGTGAGAGGGAGGCTCAGGGAGACCAGCGTCTTCCCTTCATGAAGAGAGCAGCCGCAATAATATTGATTTAGGTTGTTAACCTTACCCAAGTCACCACCTGCAGAAAGTTGCGTCTGAAATTCTTATACATGTTTAGATCCGTTCTAGTTTCAACCCAAACATAATTACTGCCTTTCACGGATGTGGCTCTAACCTGGAATACGAAA